CTCCTCCTCCTCCTCCTCCTCCACACACTTGCCCCAATCTTCCTGATGTGAGCAGGTCACACGGCCACCCCGGGAGACCCTGTGAGCAACGGCCCTCGCACACTGGCGCAGCTCCCTATCTAAGGTCACACGCTATGTGACCTTTCCTCTAGCGTCATGACCCTACGAAGCATGCGTCCACAAGGACAGGACCTACGCCTGCTCTCCGTGGCTCCCACTTGGCTTCTAGTGGGCAGGACAGGAGCTACGGTGCAAAGGGTAAGAGACAGTCCCTAAATGTGATCTGAGGGCACTATTTTAGAAAATGCAAAAATAAATAAATACAAATAAATAAATAAATAAATAAAATAAAACCTCTTTGATGTCAACGTTTTAAAATGAAAACAATATCAGCAGTCCTGAGTTTTCCCCTGCTTGCACTATGGCTTGGGGCAACCTTGCCAACAAATATTTCTTAGGGCTTTCCCATTTTAGTGCCGGAAGTTTCCTCAGAGTGGTGTAAGGGGCAGCACAACACTAACGAGCCAGGAAAACAGTCTCACAGAGGAGTGAGGCAGAAAGCCTTTTGCTTATACTGAGCTACCCGCAGGGCGCAGGACACTAGGTCAGCCACTCCGCAGGTCCCAGGCTGGGCCGGGAGGAGAGGCGATGGCGCCCCTGATTCATTAGCAGGGTCGGAGGAAGGTGCTGCCCGAGAAGGGACGCTGGCGCGCGCCGCAGTTCCACTGCAGCCTATTTTTAGCGCTTTCCTCGCTGGCTTTGCGAATGTGAGGACATGATTGAAGCGCGTGATCAAGTGTCTCTACCTGCTGCGGGGGCCAGAATGGCGGGGGCTGCTGTTCCTTTCCCTAAATATAGATGGTGATTAATTTTCCCAATTCACAAGCCATCCCTTAGGGAGGAAACTGGGCATCTTCAGGAGGTAGATTAATTTTTGTGATATTAAAGGAGCTCTTGCTAAATGTCAGAGTTAAAACAGCTTTAAAAAATTGCTAGCCAGCTTTGGGGCAACTGGTTAGCAGATGGTCCAAGAGACAGCCTGTTTCGGAGGAAATCATCATGCAGTGATAGATTCATGCGCGAGCGCCGCCTCCCCTCCTCTGCCTCCGCGTTGGCTCCCCGCAGTCTCGTTTTCCACAGGAAGCCAGCAACTTCTTGCTCCCCTTCTAAGCAGGCCTCACACAGACGCAAGGCAAACCTGAGAAATGCATGTCGATCTTCACCTTCAGCACAGCGTTCGCTTCAGTTGGCCCCTACACCTGCCATGCGGCAGGCTACCGTAACTCACCCCGTTATGGCTTGGGTGAGTGGCTTCCAAAGGTCCCCATGTAAGAACTGCAGCCCCAGGGTGGTGGTACTGGGAGTTCCTGTGGACCTTAGCAGGCGGGGCCCAGGGAGAGGCCATTAAGTCATAGGTGAAGTGCTCTGACTGTGGGACTCTTTGGTCCTTTCTATTCCTGCTTCCTGGGTAGAGCTGTGAGCACACACCCTGATATCTGCCCTGACACTCTGCTGTCCTTGCCGCAGGCCCAGCACACTGGGCCCCTGGAACCTCCAGAGCTACGAGCTACAGTAAAATTTTTGTCATGGCGGACTGTTTGCAGTCTTTGTTAGAGCAGCAGGAAGCGAGCAGGCGCTCGTGTTGCTTCCTCGTGCACCTTGGAGCTGCCTGTAACAGAGCCGGGAGGAGGTTCCCCTTGGCATTCTGACCCCGAGCGTTCAGAAGGAAGAGCGCACGAGACTTACTGCTGCAGTGCAGAGAACGCTGCAGGGCTCAGGATCCCGGTCTCCACCATCTCAATAGCTTGTTTCATTTCCAGCTTCTTGTATAAAGAAACGATGCTTGATTTGGGTAGGTTCTTTCGGATTAAGATTTTCCGTAAGTACTTATGATCAAACTTCTTAAACCTAAAAATAAAAAGCAACATTTTGGAAATCTTTCATCTCTGTATATTGTCTGTAAGTTTGCATTTTTTTCTTAAAATCACTATTTAACTTTATCCTGAAAAATATCAAGACAGAGCCTTGAATAATTAGCGTCTGAACACTTTCTTTTAAAAAAAAATCACAGTATTTATGCATTTTTTAAGTAAAGAAAGAACAGCCCACTGGCCTGAACACATTGAAAATCAACTAAACAAAAAGAAAGGGACAAGCTGCAATCAGGGCAAGAAATACATGTAAGTGGGGAGCCACAGAGGCCCAGCGCAGTTCAGGCCCCACAGCAAGGGAAGAAATGAGGGAGCCGGCTTCTGACTGAACGTTCTGCTAATCACCACAACACCGCAGCTGCGCTCACAGCGATATCAGCCTATTCAACTAGAACCCAGGAAGTTGAAATGGCCCGCTAGTTACAGTAGTTTTTCTCCATTATGCCGCAGCTCATTTTAAATCCTGCCAATTAAGAGGGAGGGAGAAAAAAACCCACATTTGTCCCCAGAGTTTGAAAGAGAGAGACTCCAATAGGCCAGACCCTGGTGGCCGCTGATTGCTGTCGTGAACCTCTGGCTGAGCTGCACAAGTGCATATGGTGGGAGTCGGCCATTTGTTTAGGGCTGGAAGTGTCGACATTCCAATCATTGTGTCACACTCAGAGAGCAGCTTGTCTGCTGCTGTGTGTTCCTGAGGAGAGCATAACTTCCTGGGACGCTGGCTGCCAGCTTAGTAGCTGACGTCTGGTCTACTAGTCCCTAAGGCAGGCAGACTGCATGAGGCAAGGTCACCGGGGGAGGAGGGCAGGCCGGCCTCCTGAGCCCAGCCATCTGCTTGGCCTGGACTCACTTGCTCGAGCTCCGGCGGGGGCCCCCCTTGACCTTCTGGTCTGTGGCCCTTTCCTGCCCCGGTGCCTGCCTGATCCTCAGCCCACAGTCACCAGCTCCCGCACCTTGCACGCTGGCTGACACGGCTCTTGCTGGCCCCTCTTTGACCTCACTCTGCTCCACTCCGGTGGCCACTACCGCTCCTCCCTACAGCTGCTGCATCTCCGGATGCACTAGGGCAGCCCACCCCGCTACTTGTGCCGCCCTTCCGGCTGCCTCCCTGGCTGCTTCGTTCTGTGTCCTCTGCCCTTCCTTTTCCAGGCCAGCCCCCCAGAAGCTGGAGTTTCTCCGAACCCTGTCTTCAGCCTCTTCCCCCTCACTCCCTTAGGATGGCCTCGAGCATGGGCTTGGGCTCCACAGTGCCTCGGCACCTTACAGCGGCTTCAGTCTTCCTCCTTGATACTAAGCCTGGCAGAAGAACCAGTTCAGAAATGTGAGCCATGGCGGAAAAGAGGGATTTTGTCACTTTAAAGAATCCTTACCTAGACAGCACCCTTAAAGGCCTTCCATGTTCAGAGCCCTGGTAACGGAGAGATCCTGCCTGGGATCCCCAACATATCACCATACCCTCTTGCATCTCAGGAAGCAGGCTTTCTGCACTGTTAAACTGTTCTTAACATGGGGAACCCTGTCCCTCCTTTAAATGTCACTGTGGCTTCTTCATTACCCCTCCACACAGGGCACTGGTTCTCTCCCAGGGAACCTAAACCCAGAGCCATCCTGTTCTGCAGGCAGCACTCATTCCCAGGGCAGCAGCATGCAGGGTGCCCGCTGCTTCTTGGAAAGCAGAAGGTCCCCCTGGAAAGTTCCTTACGACACAAGTCCCCTCGGTTAGGTCTCGCAGCCCCCAGCTCCTTACTTGTCTCTCACTTGGTAGTGACTCCATTGCCCGCACACATCTTCCATACCAGCCTTTAAGTGGTCCATGAGCTGCCGAGAAAGCAGAAGGGGGAATCGCTAGTGAAGGGAGAGCTTGGGAGTTCACACTGCACATCACGAACAAGGGAGGCGCAGCGTCGCGGTGCAAGTCTTCTTTCAGTCTGTTCTGCAACTAAAACCCACCCTGCCTTCATAATAACACAACTTAGGTTCACGAGGATACGGCTTGGGTCTACATGGCCCCCTAAAGCCTCCTGCAGGCATGCGGTGGGCTTCTAGAGTGTGTGACTGACCCACAGCTGGGCTCACGGGTGTGAGTGATGCACGCCCCCCGCGGTGGGCAGCCTGTATAGGGGAGGGGGAGAGGCCCGCTTGTGCACCTCCTCTTTTGCTCCTGTTGCATTTGCTGTTCTTCGCTGCCTTGAAGTGCTGCGTGCGCCACTGTGCCTTGGGCCAGCCGATATGGACCGAAACCTCCACAACTGGGAGCGAAAGGAACCTTTCCTTCCTTAATTCGGGTATTGGGTGTTTTGTCTCAGCAATGAGAGAAAAGTAACTGAGACAGTGACGAGAGAATCCGGAGCTATGCCGCCCCTTGCGACCACGTGGCGCGTTCCGTGGAAACAGCCACTACAGCCTTGCTTTGAACATTGCTGTTCTAGAATTAGGGCATCGGCGAAGCACTTCAAGGGTGGCTGTGGGACCTGTTAGCTCCTTTCTGTCCCTTTGATAACACTTTTCTAGAAACACCTCTTTTCTGAAGAAATAGGGATCCAAATTCTAATAATTATTTATTGCTAAAAAAAGAACTCACAAGCATCTAACTATACAGTTTCTCAAAATAGGACTTTTCCAATAATCTACTATAATAATAAAAGTTTAAGAAGAAAACTTATCAGTATTACCAATTTTAATATTTCACTATTTATTTACATTTCAACACATAAGCCGATAATGCTATATTTGTTTTATATAGAATTGTTTACAAAAATTAGGGGGAAAGACAATCTTAAAGCAATTACAAATTTGTCTCTATACCATTCAAGTTAAAAATCAATAAAATTGTTACTGGCTTCTGAATTTTTTTGAAAATAGATTAAATACTGAACTATTTTTCCAATATTCAATTGCTCCACTGATTTCTATAAATAATCATACCTATTTTGAGAAAAAAATTGAGGAAGGCATGAGCTATCCAAATTCTATAGGCTTAGGTTTATGAATGATATTTGAAAGTAAAGAATCCAAGAAGATAAAAATAGAGAAAAAAATCTAAAATTCAATTAGAGTGTTACATTTAAAAATATTCTCTCCCTATGCTAATCTGTTAAATATTTCAAATGACTTTAACAATTTTTGGGTTGGATTTCTTGAAATTTATTACCTCAAATGATTTTGCTATGCACCTTGGGGCTGATTTAGGTAAATGTCACACATTTCTCCAGTATTTGACTTATGTAACCTCAAGGACAGAAGAAACCTAAACTACCATGTGAGCCAGTCATCCAATCATGACTTTCCTGAGCTGGAATTAGGTCAAGTGTCCCCACTCACTGCTTGGACACTTCCATTGCCCCTTTGGGAGTGCCAATCAGGAAACAATGATCAGAATGCTATTTCATAAATGAGTTGAACTCACTCAACCCATTTGTCCATCTTCCCATCCATCTATCCATCCATCTATCCATCCATCCATCCATCCATCCATCCATCCATCCATCCATCTATCCATCCATCTAGTGACCTATTCATCTATTTGTCACCTATCATTTCTATTTATCATCTATCTATCTCATCTATCTATCTTTTTCCCCACCTTCCACATTTTGCTGTCTGGAAGCCATCTGTTCAAACTGTGTTGAGCTCTAACATGTAGTACAGCATATAGAGTAAGGCAGAGACCTTGGGGCCGGCAGAGACCACCAGGCTTGTGTAAAGGCAACATCATGAAGAATTCATCAAGCTGGATATAGGGAGAAAGTGCAAAAGCCTTCTGTAGGAAACAGAAAGAAGTCCACCCCTTTGACAGGAATGGCAAGATGGCAAGGGACTTTAGGCTGGAAGATTGTAATGAACATCTGCGGTCAAAGTTCTCCGCCTAAGTTCTCCGCCTGTCTTGCACCTTGGTGGGCAAAGACTTTGATGTGTCCTCTATGAATTCCGGGTGACCCCACATGTCCCAGATGTCCTGGGACCTACAAAATTCCTTGTTCTGTCTTATCTCCTTTGTGACATCCTGTGCTTGCCCATGACAGCTTCATTGCTAATCTCCCTGCTGAAAGTAGCACCTCTGCTGGCAAACGGTTGGGGGCTGGGGATCGGGTCCATGTGGAGCCCTACATTAGGGTCCGTGTTCAGCTTCATATTCACCTTTCCCAAAGTGGCAAAGATGATTCTACCAAAAATTGCAAGGCCAGATTTATAGAAATTTTCACAGTCTTATTCTTTCTCTATGAAGAGTTCTGGAAAAGCAAAGGACTCGAGATTCCTGTAAAAAAACGAGTTTAAAATCAAGCAGAACACCTTCAACTTAGTCACCCCAGGGATCTGTTGAGGTATGAGCTTGACTTGGCAGGTCCTCATTGTTCTATCAATCACAAGATGCTGCTGCGGATGCATTTTACAGATATAAATAGATCCCATCCTCAGATGCCTTTAAGTAAGGGAGATCATCCTAAATAATCCTAGTGGCCTGGTTTGATCAGTCGAAAGTCCTGGACAGAGAGGAAACTTCTCAAATGAGAAATTCTAATGGGAGACAACAGTTCCAGTTGGGGCCAGAAGTCCTGCCTGCCACCCTGCTATCTGTCCTAGGCCTGGGCTTGCTAGCCAGCTCTGAGAAGAGCGTGAGCCAATTCAGCTCACAGATCTCTTCAGATCTCCCACTGGTTCTACTTCCCTGTGGAATACTGATGGAAACACCACCTTGCATAAAAGGAAGAGTGGGAAAGAAAATAGTGAAAGAAGGGTGACGGACCCCTAAATTCTACAGGTGAGAAGTCAGCTGAGGAAGCCACTCCACAGAGGCATGTTACCTTTCATAAAAAGGGAATGTGGCCCAAGGATAGCATGCAGGACCCAGGGAAAGAAAGAAAACAAGGATCACAAAGGATGGGGATATTTCCAGACCTAAAACGAGATAGTTTCATTGCCTAGGGATTTTGCAGTTTTCTCAGGATCCACAATTCCTTTTTTCTTTCCATAGCCCCATCTTTAAAGAGAATACCAGCACCTGCTTCCTGGTGGCTCCCCAGTATTACTGCAGAGCAGGGAACTTGTTCCTTGTGTGTCACAAGCTCACGGATGAGGAGCAACTGGGCCTCTCGGGATGGGTTCACCTGGAACCTCACCCAGCCCTGACTCAGATATTTGAGATGGTGTGATTTAGGACTTTTGAGATGAAGAAGTTTAAATAGGATACAGGCTTAGAGTTGATGCTATAATGTGTTGAGATTTCCAAGATACAGGGGTAGAGGACTGTGAAACAGATACGAAGTTTTAAGGGACAGAGGGAAGGCTGCTTGTACAGAATAACGGCCTCCCGAAGTTGTTTGCAACTTAACCCTTGAGAACTGTGGATGTGTTCGCTTGCATGCAAAGGAGGGTTTGGGTAGCCCATGGGCACAAGGTTGCTAATCAGTTGACCTTACAGTGAAAAGAACATCATGTGAACTCTCCAGGTGGCTGCAGCACAATCTCCGAGAAGGAAGTAGAAGAACCACTGTTGGAGTGACACAGAATGACAGCGACCTGACCGGCCACCACTTGCTTTGGAGGAGGAAGTGGGCACCACCAAGGAATGCAGGAAGCCTCTAGAAGCTGGAAGATGCTAGGAAACAGATTTTCCCCTGCAGGATCCAGAGAGGAGCACAGCCCCCCAGCCCCCAGCTGCAGCACCTCTCAGACCTCAACCTTCACAACTACAGGATTGCAGGATGAGGCATTTGAAGCCAATAAGGCAAGCAGATTCCCTACTGCACCACAGGAAGCTAGAAAAGGGCTGTCAGTAGAGCAGGGGAGGAGCAAAGCCACAGGCTCAGAGACACGCAGTGAGCCTGGTCCAGGTTCCAGGTCACTGCCCTAGGTGACAAATGGATTCATCGTACCAACCCATCAGTTACAGTTTTGATAGTGATGACTTACTCGGATATGGAGCTCTTCGTTGATGGACTCCTTTTTATTGGTCTTCCTGACATCCAGGTACCTGACCAGAGGGCCGATTGTGATTCCCTAGATCGGAGACAGCAGAGGTCGGTTGAGGCAAAGGTTGTCACCACAGGAAACATATCTGTTATCCGGGATATCAAAATGTCAAATTTGTATGTGTTTCTTTTTAGTTTCTATTGGATAAATGCACAAACGTTTACTTTAGTTATGAATTTTTTTTTGTGTGTTGGGGGGGATGGTATACCAGAAATTCAATTCAGGATCTTGCACTTGCCAGGCAGGTGCTTGTACCACTGAGCTATCTCCCCAGCCCACATGAATTTTATAACAAAAATACCTGTAACTGTCTTTTTTAATATGAAAGCTTGATTTCATCTCTTAGGTTAAACTTTTCTTAGTTCACTAAGTGCTAAGTCCAGCCCAAACAAACACTGCACCACCAGATACTAATTAGAATCTCATTCTCAGAGCTAGACAGTAAAGTAGCTATCATTATCTGTAACTCAACACTATTTCAGGGGCCAGGGAGATGGCTCAGTAGAATAAGTGCTTGCCTGGTAAGCACAAGGGCCTGAGTTCAATCCCCAGTTCCACAATAATAATAATAATAATAATAATAATAATAATAATAATTTTTAATCAATGTATTGCATTGGTTAAGAGGCCAAGCATTTTAGAAGTCAAAGGCTGAACATGAACATAACTATAAATATCCGGGAATTTATTTTGAATAATGAACAGAGATCTAAAAAAAAATTTTTTTTTTTTGTTTTTTGGGGAAAGGTCTACAGGCCATTCAGGGTTTCACTACTCGATCAAACTCGTAGTGATTCTCCTGTTTACAGCCTCCCAAGAGCTGGGATTACAGGTGCCCAGTACCACACCCAGTCTCCCTGGAAGCAGGGCTGGAACGGCTGGCCAGGGATCAAACCCCCCGGCCCCTGAGTCTACCTAAGCAGGCGCTTTAATCCGCTGAGCTATCTGGCCAGCCCAATCTACTCATTTCAAATGGGAAAGAAAGCACCAACCTGAATGAACACAGTGAAATAGATCACTACTAGAGTAGCGGTAACAAACAGTTTCTTCCTGGGAAAAAGAGACAGAGGGAGCAGAAACGCAAGCGAGAAGCTCCCAGCTCCCCGGACACCACTGTAGAAAATGATGCACTGGTCCTTGAAGGAGAAGGGGAATGTCCGGAACTGGTTGCTGACGTAGAAGAGGGCAAACACGCCTGCAAGAGGAGACAGCGTTAGCGCAGGGCCTCGGCCCCTCAGGCGGGCTGCAGCCCTGGCGGCAGAGTCGTGCCCACCGGACCCTCCTGCTTCAGCACTCCCACTCCCTGCAGCATAGCTCGGGGCTCCCTGCTGGCCACAGCTGCACCGCTGTCCCGCCTCCTTTCAGAAGGCTCTGGCGGCCGCCCAGCGCACAGCTGTGTGTGCGCATGTGCGGAAGGTAAGTCAGTCTTCCTATTTTTATGCAAGGTTTGTGTTCTTTATATTCTCAGCCTATCTTCTCAATGTTTGTCTTGCCATTCAAAACTAGTTAAAGCAGGGACATCTGGGAGACCAAAATGTTCTGACCTCATCCCCTCATTTGGTTCGCAAAACAGATCTGTGATTTTCTTTTTCTCTTTGGGATAGATCATAGAACCTAGGGCCTGCCTGTAAACTAAACTACAACCACAGCCCCTTTTTGGTTTTTACATTGAAACAGGATCTTGCTATGTAGCCTTAAATTTGCAATCCTCCTGCCTCAGCCTCCCAGAGCAGTTGAAGTACAGCATGCACCACTGCACCCAGCTGTGGGCTGTCCCTTACACTCAGGCGCTTGCTCAACAATGGGGTGAGGGCCCAGGAGGCTTCTCATCTTATCTCAGTGAGTGTCTGAAGATCAGGGGCTTTCTCCAGCACAGCCCTGCCCTCCACTAGGCCTCCAGGACCTGAGGAAGAGCTTTGCCCCCCATGCTGTGGGACTGCCTACCCTCCCATCACCATCAAAGTGAAGACAGGAACATCTACGGTGCAAATGGCAACAGAATTTAAACACAATTTAAACTTTTGCAATACAGTTTGTCCATCCTGGTTTTTCTACATGCCAGGCATTCAAGCTAGGGCAAGGTTATTAATCATCGCATGACCCATATGCCTCACCTGCTTATCAGCGGCTGCAGTATCGCAGTTACCGTTGGACCTCTGAAGGTTGCCACGGCACCCACAGCACATACCAGATCTCATGAAGCCCTACTGCCATGTGGAAATGGTGTGGGCCTCACACTGAGCCTGCACACACCTTCCTGGGTACTTGCAACCATCTCTCTATCACTCGTGATGTTTAATACAAAGTCAATGCCATCTTAGGAGCTGTCACTCTGTATTTTGTAGGAAAAAATGACAGGGAAAGGTCTGCTTGTGTTCAGCACAGGTGCAATTTTCTTTCTAATATTTTTGGCCTGTACTTGGTTGAATCCTCAAATACAGACCTTCAGGTAGAGAGGAACAAGTGGATGCACTTCATAAAGTGGATGAAAGGACTTTTAAGAAATGAGTACCCATAAAACAAGGTCTCCTCTGTTCCAAGGCTTCCTAACTGCTGTTATAAACAGGATCTGGGTCAAGAGTGACCTGCAGGCCACCACCAGCTCTGCCCACCACAGGATGAGGCCAGGCCCCTGGCTCTCTCAGTGGGACCCATTCATACCCCCAACTCTAGGACCAGAGAGCAGGCTCCATGGTCACGGAGGGACAAAGTTCCAGTCCTGTCCTAATGTCACTCTGTTTAATTCTCTGCACAATGGCCCCTTTTCCTTCTAGATTTGTAGAATACAAAGGCTGACAGAGAGGTGAAACCTTCATCCAAATCCGCATCTCAAGGTCAAGGAAGATGACTTTGAAGAGAAAAATGTCTGTGCAAGCTAGTTAGTAGTCATGCTAGGCTTCTAGCTGAGATTTTAAATGTATGTCACAGTTTCCACAATTGTTTTTCCACCAGGAAGCCAGTAGGCATACATATTCAGTTACTTTTGTGAATATTTTAATATTTCTGCATTTCTGTTTTTCTTTCCTAGATCCTAAGGGCCATCCTAAGTTAATTTAAAATTTGTATGTTCAACATAAATTCTCAGCCATTTCTTCTAATTTCTCTTTGATAATTGGCTTGAAAATATTAATCAAAGTCACTTAAAATCCATAGTGGCTTCTCATCAAAACACAACACAAACTAAGGCTTAGCGCTTTAGGATCTTTCTAGCTCCTGAAATGCAGGTGTACAAGAGAAATCATTTCCAAAAATGAGTCATACTTTGAAGGGCTCAGGCCAGTGACGTTATAGCTATAGTTGCTCTAATTAATACTATAATTTTAAAAACACCTTGTGGGTCCTGTGCCTGTTATCTATCACCCACATGCACTCCACCCTTGAGTAGATGCATGACCTGGAGGATTGTGCTTCAGCAGAACGTTTGTCCTGCAGGGAGCACAGTTAGTGAGACCTCGTTGGTCCTCTGATGGTGTCAGTGCCCACAGTTTCTCATCTGTATCTGACGGAAGAAGACACACACTGGCAAGCAGTAAGGAGGGAGGTACATGCCGATGGGGTTATATTTAAATGTGTAGATGTGAAAGTTTCCTTTTCTATTAAAACAAAATACTCCAGTGCTCCTTCTCTGCTACCGGGCAGAAACTTATCACATGGCCACTGACTGCTTTGACCTGACTGCAGGGTAAAGAGAAGATAGCCTCGGTATGACAAGGTTCCTAGACTCCACTATCAAGTAAAAGCAGTTCAGGTCACTTCACTCCTGTTGTCTTCCCATTATGGAAGAGAAGAAGAGAACTCTTACAGTTTATATGTAGGTGTTCCCCAAAGCCTCACACTCTAAGGTGGGACTTTTGAAGGTAACTGGATTGTGGGAGCCCTATAGTTGACTGACTTGTCGAAAACCCAATCAGAAAAAGCAGATCCTTGGGGACATGGCCTTGAAGGGTTTCTCTCTCCCTCTAGCTCCGCCCCTTTTTCTCTACTTCCTGTCCACCATGCTGGAAGCAGCTTTTCCTCTTCCATTCCCCTCCCCCCCCGCCCCGTGGAGCTGTCTTAACTTAGAGCTCACCAGCCATGACTGAACCTCTACAATCTATGCACCCAAGTGAGCACTCCTTCCTCTAACATATGGATGTCAGCCATTGTGTCCCAGCAACAAGCAAAGTGCCTTAGTCAAGCACTGAGGAACAAAAGCCCAGCTGCGCACAGGGCCTGCGGGCCCGATGGTGCCTTACTGATGGCTCTCCAGATCTGGCAGAAGACCAGCGTGAAGCAGATGAAGGCCCAGTTCCACTCGTGGTTCTTCCCGATGGTGGACACGCCCATGAAGATGAAGATGAGCGTCTCGCTGACGCTGCTCAGCATCTTCATGAAGTACTTGATGGTGGTGTAGGAGGTCTGGGACACGTTTTCTTCCACATACTTTTTCATGGTCACTGCACAGGCTGTGATCCTAGAAATGAGCAGAGTCTCAGAGCGAAGCAGCTGCTCCTCAGAATACCCTCCACACTGCTAAACCTGACACACAAAGCCTGTGTTTATCCAGAAGGAAAGTCTCTCTTCTGGCTGCAGACTTTCCAGAGACTTTCAGTCTTCCTCCTCCTCTCTCCTAGCAGTCTCTACAAGGAAAAGGGAGCATGAGGGAAGGTGCGTACAATGCGGCCACCTCCAGCAAGATGGCAGGGCAGTTCTTGAAGACAACCAGAAACTTCTCTACCTTCCCTCTCTTCCACAGTTCTGTTGAACCAAAATCTTACTCTGCCTTTACTCTTTTTTTAAATTAATTTTATTGAGTCTGCCTTTACTGTTGCTTAAATCAAAATGAACCCTCCTTGGTCGAATGTACCTCACAATTCAGCAAAGCCCTGATTTTCTGCAACCACATAACACTTCTTACAACTACTGTGTAACACATTTTTCATTCTGAATATTTCAGGGCTAGAACCACTTAGCAAGTACAGAGACAGAACTTTAGCTTGTCTTGGTATTTTAAGGTTCAAAAATAATGGAGACGTAGCGGTACATGCACTATTATATTTAATTGTCATAGCCATTCCTAGGTATTACAGTTAACTATTTCTACATGAATGTCTGAATATGGAGACAACATCATTGAGAAAACAATGTGACCATGTATGAGCCAAACTGAGAAGCCTCATTCTAAGAAAAACATCTTAAGGTCACCAGGACACAAGATAACACATCTCAAAAATATTTTCATTAGATCAAAGGACTCCTGGTTTCAACACTGATCCCATCTGCCTAGTGTCAATCCACCCTGCAGGATTATGGAACTGTGATGGTGGTTACAGGGACGGCAGGAGGCCCAGGAAGGTATGCAAGCCTCTCTTCTGCATGAAAATTAGTTTTTCAAGAAACATAAACAAAACTATCCAGACAGTAGTTTCCCTAGCTTTTCTGAGCATTCTAAATTGGCATTATAAGTGCTATACTCTCCGCAGGCAAATCACAGGAGAACAAACACAAATGTTGGAGAGAATATTTGTTTGGTAAAGGACTCGAGTCTGACTTCACAAAAGCTAAAAATAAAACGCTTAGCCTTGGAACACCTCTGGTGGTCAGTGTTGGAAGCCAGGCATGCTATGCATACCTGGCTTACCTTCTAGGGTCCGGAACATTCTTATAGGGTGAGATGCTTGGACTGTACTCACGCTAGGATGCCGGAGAGATAGAGTGTTTCAGCAGCTAAGTAAGACAGGTAGCTGAACATGAAGACGATGAGCGGCTCAATCGCAGAGATGTTCTGAGTGAAACGGGTGATGAACGCAGAAATGAATCCAAAAATTATGCCAAAAAATACTCCCCCGCAGCCCACAACAATGAATCTGGCACATCCTGCCAAAATGTCCACAGGCTCTATGTCTTCAAATTTATGCATCTTTGTGAAGGCAATTAATATATTGTATAAGACCTAGGCAGGAAAAAAAAAGGACAGGAAAATAAATGTGAATTAGAATTTGGTAGTATTCTATGCACCAGTTCTCAACAACTTTGTGCCTAAATACTACACAAGAAAAATTGCACAACAGATATTAATAACATGGCTACCTGACTTTTAGATATACTCCAAATAGAGTATTATCTTTAGATTCACCAAATAAAAAAGTAATACTTATACTTCCAATAAATAAAAACATGATAAATGAGGAGATTGATTTCTGTTTTGCTCATTACTTATTATATATAATAACAAACTTCCATGTTTTTATTCTACAAATAAGCATCAAGAATGGTCCCTTTGTAAGCCTGCAGCTTCAACCTAGCATTGGCTGTCTACACATGGCCCTAGGACGGCCCCATGCAGCACACATGTGGGCTGGGGTTCCGCGGAGCATCCCACTCTCAGCCCTAGGCCTTGGCCTCCACACAGGGGCTGCTCCTCTGAATGCACCTGGTCCCTCGGGAGCCCGGGGACTCCAATGTCTTCTGTGCCTCATGAGGCTGTTTTGCCCACAAGTCCAGGCCAGCTCCAGCCTGGACATCCTGCTAGTGAGATCCAAGTGTATTCAAACACTTTCCTCCTTGGAGTCCTCTGTAAGTTTGGGGACCATGGCGCCTTGTCTTGTATATATGAAGTATTCTAGCTAATAAATGTTATGTTAATTTTTTCCTTAACCCATCATATGTTTTTGTTTCCTGATTCAACCCAGCTTACTACATATTCCACATGCAGATTGTCCCTGTATTTGGCAGTTTTTCTTGTTGTATGTGTATACAACACCCCACACCCACAATTTCAAGGGGGACAGCTTTAATCTGGTTCGTGGTTTTAGGAGATGCAGTCCCTAGCAGAATCATCATGGCATTTGGATGTAGTATAGCATAGGTTCCTGGTGGCCAGGAAGAAGAAGGAAGTGATACCAGAAAGGAAGGGCTGTGGACCGGATGCAGACCTAACGTCCCACTTCACTAACACACACACACACACACACACACACACACACACACACACACATGCAGACTTCCAGAGCATGTTATACTGATCCCCTGGGCAGATTGCAAGCCAATCAAGTTGGAAACATTAATGTTAGTTCTCACATCCCACACGCTGGCAACAAGACACTCAGAAACATCTCCTTAAACCAATACTTAATGTCCAAATAAAGACAATGGCAAGTTCATAATTCTACCTAACAGTGTGACTCTGTGTGTACAACTCAAAAGGTACTAATTCCTTCCCCAAAGTTCCATAGCGGTAGTAGTGCTAAAAAGTCCTAGTCTACGTGCCCTCCGAGACTCAAAGCAAACTCCTATGAACACTGGTGGAAAAAAAATGCTATGGTATCCCAAGATACAATGTCAGAGGGGAAATATTTCCATTCCAGAAGAGAAAGAGGAGAAATAGAAGATAATTCAACCAAAAGAAAACAGAAAGCCATCGGGATTAAGGCGTGTGGCTGCGCATCTGCTATTGGGCTACGCGGCATGGCAGTGAGAGTTAGTTTCCATAGGCATCGGGAGCCCTGACCCTATTGCCTTGCTATTTGTAGCCCGTTGCTGTTGGCCTCTCTCTCAGGGCTCTACTCACCGGCCCATTGAGCTTTATTCCCACAGCTTCCTGCATGACTTTCTCAGGCAGTCCTTGCGGGACGTCCAAGACCTTCTATTGAAATCTGAATGGAAGTCCACAACTCTTGACCTTACAACTTTTACTTTCTGCATGACAGTAAAACCAGAATTGCAGGGAATTTTACAATTTTCTGTCAGCAGAAACACTAAACAGGCCCCTTTAGATCATGGCTACGGTGGCCTCTGACTGCCTGGGTGACTGATCACAGTGAGATGACTCCTAGGTGACCAATTCCCCTGGGGACTCTTCTCAAGCAAGGGTCCCAGGGATTTCCTTTCCAAATGAAAGGTTTACAGTTCTGTATCTTCGAGCCTGTGGTGCATAGGGTCTTGCTGACTTTTGAGATGACCGCACGACATCTTTTTCTTATTCCTGAACAAAGTGCTTGGTTTCTTTATAATAATGTTAATCTTTTCAACAACCACCCCTTCTTGGGCCCCAACTTTTCATGTGGTTCTTTTTGAGTCAAAAGTAAATTTTTAAAATTGCTCTGCTCCACTGTTTGCTTCCAATGACTGCTATAAATCTACCTAAACTCAGCCTGCAGTATCTATGCCACAGCCTAAACATTGGGTTACCTTAAAATTTCCCCCACTAGATCAATCAGTCCACTGCACATAATCTGAGTTGTTGGGAGCTGCAGAAGCTAAAAAATTGATCAAATGTGTATAGGTGGGACTAGGCCTCAGTACCTAAAGCAAATAAGCTATTTCAGTCCTAAAATACACATCCTATCTGGTTAAGGTCAGCTATTGTTAGACAACCTTGTGTCACGTGTTACTAACTTTACAAAAGTATAAAGGACGATTTTGTTGTGCAGTTACATTACTCTTGCCCATCAGGCAGACCAGTGACCACCTAGCTCAGCTTTTGTCTTCTGTCTGTTATGGTTTGTGTCTAGTGTCCCCAAAGCCTCATGCAGTCTTGGGGTGGCTTCTGTAGTTTGTGATTGATTTTTGTGGGTATGGATGCTGCACCTGCCCTGGAGCAGGGAATTTGCATTTCAATGTAAAGAGGGAAGAGAAGCTAGCTGCTTGAGCCTCTGCTGCTGCTCCTCCTTTGCTCTCTGCTCTTTGCCGCCGCCATGAAAGGTTGCCCTCTGCCATGTGCCTCTCCGCCTTGGAGCCAGCTGAGTATGGACTGAAACCTCCAGTAACTGTGAGTTAAATAAATCTGGATGTCAGGTATTTGGCCCAGCAATGAGAGAAGAGTGACTGAGACATTGAGCTAAGACAATGAGGTAAGACATTGTCTATCTTTCTCATTCCTGCTGCCATTTCTCCCCGGATAAAACCAATCACAGTGAGACCAACAGGTCCCTATACTGAGTCTCCCACAAAATCTGACAACATGAGCAAAATCTGCACAAAATTTTTGCCGGAGTGTAACACGTATGGTCTCTAATCCAGTGAAATTCTTCCCAACTGAAACCTCCTGGACCTGGCCTTTGCTGTCCACATTTCTGCCAGAATTATGGCATTTTTTACATGCATCAGAACTTTTTATTTGTAAACTAAACAGACACATTTCAAACATACAGAAATAAAAGAGCAATTTGGTAGATTACTGAGAATTTATTGCTTCTTGTCCTCTGAGCTCCAATGAGAACCCCCCACCAGGTGGAATCTAAAATTCAAAGAAATTCTGAGTGTCCTAGAACCACAGAAACTTTGATATAAGTTGTCCAGAGTCTGTATCTCATTCATTGTCAGAGCATCCTGAGTCCATTTTCTGATGTTAAAAGTGAATAAAACAGAGTGCGTTACTAGAAATTAATCTTTAGTTGGTTTCACAAAGCTAGAGGCAGGGAAATCCAAGAGCATTGTATTAGAACCTAACAAGGATTTCCACCCACACTGCATCGTAACTGGCCAAGAAGACAGAGCAAGCACACTTGGGACACAAAGAGAACTCTGGAGAGAGCTGAATTTATTTTAAACTCACTCTTGAGATAACCAACCCCTTCCCACAATGATGCCACTAATTTATTTATGAGGGCAGAGCTCTTGTGACCCAGTCGCCTCCTGGAAATCTCACTGAGTAACACTGTTACAATGGCCATTAACTTTCAACTTGAGTTCTTGACCACCACTCCAACTCAGTGTCCACCTACACATGCTGCTCTCCTTAGGCCTCTGGACAGGTACTTCCTCTCTGTGGGGCTTCCTGGCTGGAGTCTCCTGCTCCACTCTGACCACAGTGCTGTCAGTCATTCTTAGTGATATTGAGTCACCTCTTTCCCTTGGCACGGCCTGACAGTGATTGGGTTCTTGCTTCACTTTGCCCTGCATGACCCCTCAGAGCTGTGGACTGCATTATGCACGTGCTGAGTTCTCAGCCATGAAGGTCAGTCTGCAGGCAGCTGAAGCCACTGCTCCGCAGCCCATTTCCCGGGCCTGTTTTGTCCAGCACTGCACTGGGCACGGCTGCCCATCACATCACCTTTGTGACAAAAGGTTGCTGATTTCCCAGAGAGACACTGGCAACGGATGACCATTTGCAAGGTCATCCCCAGGCTATTGGCGTGATGTGTGCATAATCAGGAATGGGCAAAGTACGCTGTAGGCACAGCCTGGCCCATCCCACTTGCCCTTCTTCTAGGGAGGGACTCAGAGGGGTCTGAGAGTGGTTTCTTCTACAGAGGGATGGAAGTCTAGGAAGCAAGGGGTCTGTGGGATGGGCACCCTTGACCCTGGGATCCCTGCAACTACCGCGTACACTATTTGCACGTATTTTGCTACTCACAAATATGCAGAGGTCAGAGGAATGCCTTCTGGCCCAGAAGGCATTCCTCAGAGCAACTTAGCGTCACCAGCCTTCATGTAGCATGCTGCGTTGCAGATGACCTTAGCAGGTGGGAGACAGAGGCCACAGGGGTTCACCTGAACCTGCACAGGGCAGCTTCGTCACTTGGACTTCTGCATCAGTTCCCTGAGACTGCAGTAATAAAATGCTACAACTGCATGGCTCCAATTAGCACAAATCCCTCATGGTTCCAGAGACCAGAAGCCTGGAATCAAGCTGTCCCTGTGTCCCCTTTGAAAGAGCTATGGGCTGATGCCTCGTTGTCTCTTCCTGGCTTCTGGAGGGGGAGGCAATCCTTGGTGTCGCTTGGCTGGCAGACACATCATTTCTGTCTGTGTCTCCTCTTTGCATTTCCCTTCTCGGCCACAGAGCCTTCTTAGACGCACACTACTCATTAGCACCTGGCTGCCTTTAATCCACTATGAGTACTATGTAACTCACTATGCCATAAAGACACTATTCATAAGTAAGGGCACATACTGAAGGCTTACATGGGCACGAATTTTAGGGGTACGGGTGCACTCATCTATCCACTA